CCCATAAATTCATCCATAAATATCAACGGCTCTTCTTTGTCAGATATATCGCTATTATTCTCTTCAGCACACTTTCATCAACTTATCCATCGTGTCTCTTTTGTCTCATTTCTCACCGTCCTCAACTTGTTTTAATGCCCCGGTAAGCTGCATTTCCACCACCTCTTTGCCTCTTAAATGTTCACAAAATCAGATCAAAGTCGTCCAGTACCACCAAAGTGCCACGAGAAGAGGTCTCTGACTTCGTTCAAGCCGCAGCACTTGTCCCATACGAGGGTGTCGTATCCCTCACGTCTGTTGTCGAATCTCTCCTTGAGGAAGATGATGATCGTTTCATTTGGCAAAAGGTAGAAGCTACGCGTACCGGCTATGTGCACTGGATCGTGAGCTCTTCTCCAGAATAGTACACTTTCGTGTAACTGACACCAACCTCAAGCTCGTCGAGAAGGACAGCATGGAGCCTTTGACAATCTCCCACGTCGCCGTCCTTTCTGGTGCCATGAGTAGATCGTATGGCAACTATATTCCTTCTGGTGAGAGGGCCCCAGAGGAATATCCAATTAACGGCATGTTAGTGTTCTCTCTTTTGCCTTCATACGTCGTCGCTGATATGTCTAGTGACACCCACCCTGGCTTCACGAACAAACTCACGTGGAATTTGGAGTCAAGCGAATCAGACTCACATAGCATTGGGCCTTTGATGCAGGTGCGTCTCGTTTCAATGGTAGCAACATGGGTGTTGACGTTCTGGAACCTCGCTCTAGAGATTAGAGCGGTCGCTCATCGATGGACCCTTGCAAGGTGCCTTTGCAATCGATACACCTCCTGAACAGCTCAGAGACGAGTGGAACCAACCAAACGAGTTCTCCAAGTACCATCTCCAATTCCCTCTGTTCGCACGTCGTTATGTTGCAAAGAGGCGAGGAAAATATATGCCTGCCGAGGATAAGGACTCAGTGGTCCATCCCAGGGTCCAGGCCGCACTTGAAGTTGTCAGCAAAGGAGAGGATCCCTTAGTCCTCGTACCATGCCGACCTTCCGTCTACGTCAAAAAGGGCGCCTACAATGATCCATCCGCTAAGCAAGTCCTCGCCACAAGTGAAGATGACTGGCATCGACGTGGCGACATCATCTGGTTCGTAGGGCAGATCCACTGTGAGGCGTACAACACTACGACGGCGGAACCGACCGCAACGAAGAGAGTGCATTGGACATGCGAATGGTGGCCGGAGTCTGTTGTTAGAATCGCTCGTGTCGACATAGTACGTGGTGATGCTCCACAACCCACAACTGTATATGCCTTTAGCTGACCTGTCTTTTCCAGCCTGTCCTCCATGCCGAAGGTACGACGGAGGAAAACAGTAAGAAGCGCAAGTTCTCGGATGTCGGTCTATCTCCCAGAAAGAAACCACGTTTCGACCCAAACTTACTATCGTATGTCCCAATATATGCTTTGCAAAGTAGATATCGCTTACTGACATCCTCTAAGCTCGCCTTCGAAAGCCTCCACGTCCGCCGTTGTTAGTGAATCAGAGAGCCGCAGGAGCGGAAGCAGAAGCCGAGGTATGACGCTTGATACCCCACAAGACCTCATCGAGGATAATAGTCCCCCTCCTACCCGTTTACGTTCGCGACTCCATAAATGATCCTCCAAGTCTTCGATTTTTTTTA